TGTGAATCTTGACTCCAGGTACCGAAATCAGAATTAAAATGAGTTATTGAAAACTCAGGAAATGAGAAAAACAAGGCGAAACTCTACCGAAATTTAGTTTGTGTAATTTAAACTAAAACTAGATTTCAAGAGGAATATGAGATTAAAGTGTAAAAAGAAAGATGTTTCGATAATTGGTGATGGTTAGAATTCACAGTTTTGGACAGAAACTGAAAATTAGGCCCATGATTGAGTAATTTGCACGGTTTTAGTGCAAATCCTTGAGATAGGAAATAGTTTGCGGTTGAATACTAAACATCAGGATTGTAGACCTTTTCGACGTAAATTTTAATGTAATTATTGATTTTAGATTTTGAATCTAACCATTGAAAAATTTATTCAATAGGGCCGATTAACGGTTGAAGTCGGACAACAGCAAGGGAGACAAAGGACGCATTGTTAGTGAAACTTCTGTAAGTACAATAGTTTTTCTATGGCTATATCACGAATAAGCTTACTTTTCTATGTTGCACAAAAAATTGTGCCTATTGTAGAATTTTGAATGTTAGATAGATACAATGTTAAGTATGTATCGATGTTAGGTCGTGATTAAACTAAGAGAAAAGAAAAGTTAAAATTTAGCGAAAAACTAATCTCATGATAAATTGCTCAAAAATGCTCAAATTCATAAGATTTAATTAAAGTTACCGTTTCAATGAGAAAAGTGATAAATAGTAAGAGACTAAACGTCCTGTTTGTACCAGCCTTCGAAGGAAAGGTTATTATGAGACTATGAAAGAAATGAAACCGTGACTGAGTTGGATTGGTTAACTACCCCACTCCTCACTAGTTATGCGCGCTATGGTACAACATGACAGGGCCCATAAGAAGTAAAAGACACGAAAAAGAAACACGAAAATCATTTCATATAATGGTATGGTATCCGTAAACAAGAACGACAAGAGTGAGAAAAATAAATGAAAGTCGTTTAGAATTCTGTACTAGGAAATATGACATGAATGCATATATGGGTATGCATAATTAATGTATCTTTTTATGACCTATTGATACTTGTTGAGTGAAAGGTCATTAAGTTTGTTCGTGTTGTAGGAAGCACGGGTAAGGCACCGGCTCCCTAAAACTTGATGCTGGGCATGCAGAGAGGATGTAGCAGTGAAATGTGGGCAAGTGGGTTGTGGATGTATCACGTGTTTTGAAAACGCTGCTGAACATTATGTGTAAAATAAAAGAGTGTTTTATGTATTTTGATGACTAATGTAACAGAATGCTGTCAGAATGCTACAACATTTTAGGAATGGCTGAAAACAGAATGCTAGCTAAATGCTCCAACATTTTAACATATATGAAAAAAAATGGCCTGAAATTTTAAGAAGTTATAACTAGTAAATGGTAGAGGTTAAGAAATGGTAAGTATGAGCATAGGATGATGACCAAAAGTTAGGGTCGTCACACTAGTGTCACTTTTATGGAGGAGACGTCTTTGTTTTTGTAATAAGGGTGTGTGTATTGTCTAGTCACGTGAGTTACACTCGTTTCTTTAACTTTAGTGTTGCTTTGTATTCTAATCCCTTAGTGGTTCTTTAATGAATACATTTTATTGCCCTTTAAAAAAAAGGTTTGTTTAGTGTTGGTTACATAAAAGTAGTTGTTGGCCTTAAAAGTCTAATAATAAACCATTTATTGAATTATTTGAATAACTTTAATCTAAAGGAGTTTTGGTTTTGTCAAAAACCTGAAGATCTTTGGCTCAACAGATTCATTCGTTTTTCGGGGGAAAAAAAAAAAAACGGATTCATTTCAATGATTTGGAAAATTCTAATGTTTTATTTGAGTTGAATGATGGATTCTTGTCTTTTTAGAGCTTTGCTCATGTACCAAGTAATATAATTGCTGTGTTACATGACAACAATGATACCTTTGGATAAGTAATAATAATATTTTTGTCTATTTTCAAGGAAAAAAATTGCCCAAAAAAAATGATATGTTTGTCTTTCTCCAAAAAGAAGGGAAAATTTTTAAAAATCTCATCAATAATATAACACTATTTTATTTCTATTATTAAATTTAACATACTATTAATAATCAGCCGATTATTTTTTTCGTAATTTACAAGTTATTAATTCATATCCTGCAAGTCATTCTCTATAATAACATTAAAATTTTATATAGTGACATACATAATCGAGTTAGAAAAAAAAAATAGTTAAACTTGAAATTTTCTTTAAAAAAAATGATTTTGGCCCGAACAAAATGATATTTTTGTTTTTCTCCATGTATTAGTTTCCTTGTCGTAGTGTTTCCAAGCAAAAAAAAAAGAAAGAAAAGAAAAAAAAAAGAAGTTATTGGGTTGGGCTCTTTGTGGGTTTGAACTTGCCCAAATATAGAGTTTTGGCCCAACGACTAAAGTTCTAACATACCAACACGTTGAATAAAAGAAGAAAACTCATACGATATATATGCAGTTTATAATTGCATTCCATGAGTATTTATGCATGAAGTGTTTTACTATAATCAGCTCATCACAAGCGCAGAAGGGAAATCATTAGTTGCGATATAAATCTTCTGTGAAGTTATATATGCTCATTACTAGAAATAAAAAAAAGAAAAAAAAAAAAGAGGTTACATATATCTTCCTTGTCAAGTCCTAATATTGCTTCCAGAGGTCCGGAATGAATAAAGTTTTAATAACTAAAACGATGGCACGCAATTCATTTTATGCGTTTTACAAGAAGAATCTGCTTTTTTGACTAAATTGCAATTTAAAGAGAGTTTTTTTTCTATTTTTATTCCGTAAAGTATAGAAACACATTTCAATTCATCTTTTTTTTTTTCTTTTTTAAGAACGTAAGTGGGAAAATGGAAAGGAAGCAAAATTCCACTAGAAAATTTTGTATACAGCTAATTTATTACATGTGTGATTCGGGAACAGGGTTTTTTAAGTAGATATACATGTATACAGACGACTCACGTCTTTCCAACATAATATATATATATATATATATATTTATATATGTCTGTGTATGTATGTGTGTATGGTGTGTCAGGGATCTAATATATGGAAATATATTGGACACCCTAAAAAAAGCATATTCCTATGCGGTTCTATCATCAACTTACACCTAAAATCAAGTCTAAAGGTTTTTTTTTTCTTTGTTTTTTTAAGCTCTATCCAAATAATCACTATACCCTTATTGGTGTCTTTTTCTAGCTAGCTAGGCTTCTTATTATCAGCTGGTGGGCACTCAAGTTAATTATGGACTAGAATCGCGGTAGTACTAGAATCAGAGTGCGTTTGGTCTAAGAATTTATCTCATGGTTTGAATTATGATTCGTGATTCGCTATAATATTTTTTCTCATAAAAAACACACCTAAATCGAGAATGATTTTAAATTATGATTCTGAATCCATCAACCAAACGCAATGTAATTATCAAATTATCAAAGAGAAGGAAAAATTCTTTCTAATCAAAGATATATAAAGCTGAGCTACATAGTAGGGAATTAATATTGTATATATTTGTATATATAACACATTTATATATACAAGAAAATAGGCTAAGTAATTGGTAAAAATTTCCTTCGTCGCGTAAAGAAGTGATGAAGATAAATAATGTACGAACTCCATCTATGTATAGAATTCATTGGTAATAAACTTTAGCATATGAGAGATGATCATATGAAAAAATTGTGTGTAATATATATATTATTTACAGTTAATATTCAAGGTGTTATTCATAACTGTAGATTCTGTAGTCAACAAAATCCTCAAAAATGCATGTCGCAAATCATTAAGGAACAACTGCTTTATTTTGTGCTGCATGCATCTTAACCCCACGTGCTTTTGTCATGAGATAGGTCCTCTCAGAAAGTCAAGTAATGGCACTCATTTCCAGTTCCGAGAGAGAGAGAGAGATTAATTATATCAGAGTATAAATAAAAGCTGGTATATATACTCAAGGAAGAACAAAGTTATAAAATCTACATGTACGTACGTATATTCCCTCACAAATTGATATGTATACACATAAATAATTATACATTATATACACTAATTCATTCACGAAGCCTTATCCTAATGTTCTCACAAAGTTGTTCACAAGGATCCTGCTCCTAACTAAACTTAACTAGTTTGAAATGTAGGAAAACAGCAGCGTTATAAAGTCATAATTTATCCACTCAACGCGTATCACTTGTACACATATATTTACTTGGATATACGTACAAGGTAATTGCATTAATTTAACAATATAGTGTAAAAAGTGACGGAAAGTGAAATTCTTGGAGATTTCGAATCGATTATCTTCTTCTGTTTGAAAATATTATATATATATATATACACACACACATGTATATATAGATAGTTAGGCCATAGGTTAGGTGTAAAAATGTATATGGTTAGCAATACGTATCAAATAAATAAGCTGTACATCCTTGGCTATATAAAAAGACGGTGCAATATGGACATCTACTTCAACAACTCAATGGCGTATAAGAATTGGTATATATGTCAACAATAATAATGCTTTTATGAACCATATCGCACACCAAATCTCTCACCATTCTCTCTATCAATTCCATCTGATCTCTCTCTCTCTCTCTCTCTCTTCCTTCACCCCCACCGCGTTTATACACAACGACTCTATGTATCTTTTAGGGTTTATAATAATTACCACCATTACTGACCCATAAATAGGATCATCAAGTTATATATATCTCATATTCCATATTCCTCTCCTTTATCCATATTACTTTTCAAATAAATGCCGGAGCTCTGAAACCCTACTTGCCCAAGTAGAGAAACCCTAACCATTCGTACACCAATTTTTGTGACAAAAACACCCCTAACTAACAACACTTCATCACATCCAATTCCGTCGGCAATCACATTATCAAAAGAAATTAAGAAGAAGGGATAAGATAATTAAGGAAGAAGATTAGAGAATGATCGTAAAACGAGACTATTAATTGAATGAAAAAAAAAACAAAATGAACTAATATATTATACAAAAACCCCCAATGTATACACATATATATGCCCATATATAATAAAACCGATCAATTACCCCTACTTAAGTACAAAGAATAACACAAAAGAACATGAAGTAGCTAGCCAGTAGTAGTGGGGTAGTACAAATATTTCTTCTACCAAATAAAAGAAAAAAAAAAAAGAAAACACCCATATATAATATGAGCTCTAGATCATATATATCATATATATGTAGTTAGTTAGAGAAGTCCATACCATTATATCAAGATGATCATCTCTAAAAGCAATGACAAAAATCATCACTAATGATCATTCAACGTCTCCCCTTTGTACTCCTTTCTCATCATGATCTGAGACGGTACAATAATGTCCTGAAGAAGCCCATGATCTCTAATCGAAGAAGCCGAAGAAGGAGATGAATTAATATTATGGTGAGGATCATTAGAAGAGAAGGAAACGACGTAATTGTTGTTGTTATTAACGTGTCTGATCTCTTGCACATGAAAACTAGGATACGACGTTGGATTAACAACACTAGCACTTGACGAGGGAGGAGTACTAGTAGTACTAAACACATTATTGTAAGAAGCTTGTAATTGTTGTTGTTGTTGTTGTAGCTGTTGATGATGGTGAAAAGGATGATGAGGCTGCAACTGTGGACCGACACCGAAGTGCGAATTAGCCACCGCGGAGATGAAGCCCCCGCCGCCGGCGTGGTGCTCCGATGAAGGGGCGATACCGAGGCTGCCACGTGGGGTAATGGGGCAGGGATGCGTATGTTGGCCTTCGTAGGTGGTGACGACAATGGTTGCGTCGTCGGAGGATCTCTCGACTCGCTTTTTGACGCCGCAGCGGCCGCTGGTGCAGCGGTAGTAGCTCCTGTAGTGTGGCAAAGGCAAACATTTCTTTCTTTAATTTTTTGCGTGGTCAGTAAGAAAGCAAAAAAGGAAGAGCAAAGAAAAAAATATATATTCCAACACAAAAAGGAAAAAAGTTTTCCATTAGAATTATATGATCTTAATGAGTTATGGGTGAACATTTAAAGTGTGAAAATCAATTAACATTAATATATACATACATATATATATATATAGGGGGGCCATAAATAAAAGGGGCTTTTACGATTTGATCTTGTATATAGATATAGTACTGTGTATATATAGTTTATATATACCTGGGATAGGGGTTATTTTTCACAGCTTTTTGCCCGTATTTGCGCCATCTGTAGCCATCATCTAGATGATCCACGTCGCTCTTTGTCATGAACGCAAATCTCGGTTCTCTTTGCTTTTTTTGGTTCTTCTTTTTGGGCTTCAACCTAAGATTAATCAACCATAAAACATAATATTAATTAATCAACTTTAAACCCCACAAAATCACTTCATGATCATGAATATCCCTTTATGATACAAAAATTTCACAAAAAAAATAAAAATAAAAAAATAAAAACAAGAAAATTAACCATGAAGGAGATCTTGATGTTCGAACAGCAAACAGTTAATCATTACACTCATTATAACCAAAATCACATAATATAATATAATTAACTATAATCCCCATCAAAACCACAGCAACAGAACTAGCTATCTAGCAAGTTCTATGTACTTCATACTATATCTATAGTGTAACAGGCATGACAAGGAAATAACACCTAACAAACAATAATAACACTAAAAAAAGAAAACGACACAAAAAAAAGGGAAAAAAAAAGAGAGAGAGAAAACTTACTGCTTCTGGGTCTTCTCCTGATCATCCTGCTCTGCCACTGTCGTCGTCTCCTGCTGATGATCCGAGACTACTGATTGCTTGTTAATGTTGGTTTGGTCTTCATTGGAAGAAGAAGAAATGGAATCTGAGTTCGGAGTTGTGGGAGTAGTAGCAGCACTGTTCAGAACCTCTGAGCATGTAGTAGTACTCTCCGGGAGAGACGGCGTCGTTTCTTGCGGCGGCGGTGGAGGAGGCGGTGGCGGTGCAGTTGTGGTGGTGGTGGTGGAGGAGAATAGAGAAGGCAAATCTAAGAAAGAATTAGAGGATGAAATACTAGTCAAGAAATGATCTTGGAAGCCCAACAAATCCATGAAGCCGGCCTTTTGATTGATCATCATATGATCATCACAGATTAGCGGATGGTGCATATTATTGATCATCATGGTGTGATCATTAAATATGGTGTCGTCGGAGAAGATCATGTTGCTGTTGGTGGTGTTTGGAATCATGATCATGGGATTGGACGACTGATTGTGATGAAGATATTGTTGTTGTTGTTGTTGATGATGATGATGATGATGATCCTCTAATTTCTTGTCCATGAGATTTTGAGAAAATTTTATCTTTTTCTTTCTTTAGATGGTGATCACCCAAAAAATAAAAGGAAAAAAACCAAAAAGGAGGAGCTTCTATAAGCACATATTCTCTCCCATTTTTGAACTAGTTCTCCAAGTAGTTAATTTAGAGAATAGAGAATAGAGGAGAGAGATGGAGATAGACTAGTGAAGAGACTGTTTTGGTTTTTTTTGTGGGTTTTTATTTATTTATTTTAATTAATAATTAATTAATATTATTCTCTTTCTTTTTTTTCTTTCTTCTTTTTATTTTATTTTATTTTGGGTGTGAAATGTATGAATGGACTGGCCAATTGAGAGGTTGGGATTTTGGAGAACAGCTTGGCTAGAGGGAGTTTCCCACCTAGGAAATGACCGGCACGTGCCGGTATACCCTGCTGTACGGAAATAATGTCGACAGGGCCGGTGATTTTGCATTTAATGCACGACGACCGCCTTATCTGGGCCCTACCTCACATTCTAAAAAAACGCGGATTTTTGACTGGCTAATCCGGTTGTGTGTGGACAGGGCCTTTGCCTTATAATAATATAGCTTAAATTTATATATCTTTCTCTCTATCGAAGAGTACACGTGTCCTCTGCCAAAAAATATTTTTATCTCTTCTGTGTCTGCATGTGATTTCTTATCTTTTTTTTTTTTTTTTTTTTTTTTTTTTTTTTTTTTTCGCGCTTTCTCCATTCAACTTTTAAACCCTCCAAACTAGACTCTAGAACAATAATCGTTTCCTTTTTAGCTCATTATATTAAGAAATTAAAATTCGTACATTATTAAGTCCTAATTAATAGATCAAACGACGTGTGAGGACAACACAATCAAGTCCCTTCACGTTAATTATAAATTGAGAATTCGAGTCACATTAAGTTATACTTAAAATTAGTAGCTTTTTTCGTTCTTTTTGTATTAAAAAAAAATAAAATAATAGAGCAAACCAACTTGCAATTTGCGTGATCATCTCAAATATATAGTTGATATGATAACAAATAATTATGACTAAATAATGCCAAGAAGAAAAAGTATATATGATGATCTGTTTATCAATCCATTTCCCTGTGTTGTCATATTTAAAGCAAAACCCCTTTTCCTTTTTTTTTTTATAGCTAGAACTGCTTTGCTAATTAGATGGCCAATGAATCTGATCTGATCATTTGTAATACTAATCTACATGTTTTACATTCATATAATAAATACTACTGTTTAATTATTACTAATCTAATTATATAGGTATAGTAGGCAATGAGTACATACATTCAGCTAGTTATATATGAAATCTCTTCTCCTTAATGACGCATTAATAATTTCTTCATTCATTATAGTATTAAGTATGATCACTATTGAGCAAAGTTTTTCACTTGAATGCATAACATGATATCCAATCCAAGCTTTGAAAAAGTAATTTCAATTACAAAAATTAGTCTATTGCTATTATGATGATGATTATAATTATCAGTTCATTATCATTATTATTTCCTTTTCACTCAATTTGGAGTAAAAAAAATTACTTTTATTGATTCGATCAATCTTATCCACCTAACACAAAGTAGAGTCAGGTAAACGGTGGAAAAAAAATAAATTCAAACTTTCGAGAATGGTACTTTTTTTTTTTTTTGGTTGGTGTGTGTTTGGGTCAATAACTTGCGAGACTATTAAACCCATAAGGCATTTCCAGAAGACCCGTACATGATAAGGATCGCTCGAGGGGACATGCAAATTTCCAAATGTATATAAATCTCTAGATTTATTATCGAATAAGAAACATATCATAGAGTGAAGGAGACTCTGTATCTAAATTTCTTAAAAGAAAAGGCATGCAAAAGAATATATTGATATTCCACTTAAGTTTTGTTTTGTTTTGTCCCCTTAAGAATTAAGAAGCTCTACCATGAAGTTTAGGCGCTTAACATTTCTATATCTTAAGGCCTCGTTCGTTTCGCTGATTCGAGTTTAGAATTCGAGTTGAGATGTGATTTTATGTGAGAGCTTTTTACTGTAGCAAAAAAGTTAGATGTGACTGTTTGTGAAAGCTTTTTACTGTAGCAAAACTCGAATTAGCGAAACGAACGAGGCCTGACATTCTCTCATTACCAGAACATTAAGGGCCAAAAAAAAAAAACTATTAATTCAAAAATATTATAAAAGAGGATCCTTCTACGGTAGAATCTCATATGAGTAGTGTAGCTTTGTTTGTTTCACCATCTGAATCATAACTCAAAATTTTTATTACAGTGTTTTCTCTTGTAAAAATTTAAATTAAATTTTTATTCTTAAAGTGTTTTCTTCCACATAAATTCATTTTTCAACTCAAGTACTTCTCAACTCGAACGTGCTAAAGAAACGGAATCTATATTTTTTTATCGTTGGTTTTAATTAAAACCACATCAAATAAATGAGTACGTAAAAACAATTTTTTCATATAAATCTGAAAAATATAGACCTACCGACTGGGAATTTGTTAGAAATCTTACAATAAAAATGTATAGTAAAGGGTTAAAGTACGAACGTCATGCAGACAGATAACATTTAACTTTCTGCTAGCATAGGAAAGTAAACAACACAAGGCATGAAAAGTAGATAAAAAACGGGAAGGACTTTATATACATATATATACAACCTTTGATCAACCCCCAAAAGATTATGAGAAAAAGGAAAATAAAAAAAATAAAAGAGAGAGAGAGAGAGAGAGAGATCAGAAAAGTATACGATAAGACCAAACCCAAAACCCAAAAAACATTAAAGAAAAAGAAAGAAATAAAGAAAAATTAATAGGAGAAGAAAAGAAAGTTTTATTAAATATAACCGCGTGACGATGACTGAAAAAATGAGAAAGAAGAAGGTTCGGCACGTGTGGTCCATGGCTGACACACGTTCGGCGTCAGCAGTTCGCCATCGCTGCCTTCTTCCCCGACAAAACCTAAACACCCTTGATTGACTACTATCATATATATTAATATCCCCCACCTCTTCTTTTTTACTAATCATCATACTTTTCTTTTCCTTTTCTTTTTCTCTTTATATTTTTCACTTTTTTTTTCTTTTCTTTTTTCTTTTCTTTTTGTTTCCTAACTTACAATTGCAATATCTCAAAACAGATCGCTTTGTTTGAAGATATGGATATGGATATTATTCCATCTTGTTTTTGAACCCTAGCTATGGATTGAATGGTCATGCATTTCCATAATGTTTTAAGGTACCTCATTCACATCCATGCATGTTAATTCTATATTACTAAATTAAACAATAAAATGGCAAAAGAAAAAGAAAAAAACAACACCTAAGATTTATATTTTTCCATTCTTAATATGAGAATTACATCTAGTTTCGTTCATCATAGAAATTCATTAACCATATAAACAAAAAAGTAAAAAAAAAAAAATATATATATATATATATATATATTTCTCACCTATTTGTGTATTCTCAATCCTCTCTAATTAACCCTAAATATAGGACGCCTCTCTTTGAAAAAATAAAATTTAGGACAATGAAATATTTTACAAGTGTGAAATCAACAAAGTACTAATATTAATGAATCCCTTCATAGTCAATCCGCTTTACATGAAGGCAACAATTAAACTCCACAATTTAACATATAACTGCAAGCAATAGTGCAAATATGTACAAATTGGATCTCATGATTTTGTTTTGCTTTGTTTTATTTGAGGAACATATTTTGATCATTTTGGTTAAACAATATTTTATGATTTATTACCAATCACCATATATATGCGTGTGCTATTTCTTAAGTACCCCATTTTCACACTAATTTCCATATATATATATATACATATATATATATATATATATATATATAATATCTTTCAAGGGTTTCTTTTTCACATCCATAACATACGTAACAAAATCCTACCGGTGATTAATTATGCGTATCCTATGCAAGTATATGTGCTGTATGTATAGTTTCCCATGCACTTTCCATGATGTGGGCAGCTTCATTGAGATCTTATATTTTTCTACATGTTATCATTGCATACAAAAAGATATAATGGTTATTTTGAAGTACAACTAGCTTACTACGGAAAAATAAATAAATAAATTGATTTAAATTGTGGAAAACTTCCTTTTCAATTCGATCTAGAGAAAAGATTTTCTCTTTTATGGGACGCAAATGCTATATTAATTGTAAAGCAATTCTTTTATTATTTTGATTTATTTTTTCTCTTGAGGAAATTATTGTGTCCTTTTCTTGAAAAATATACTTGGCCACAATACACGTCTTTGGTCCCCCCCATTGGGGCCACAATTCGGTGTGGGGACAACAAAAACCAGTTCTTGCTTTACACGTGTCAACATCTCGTTCACCATCTTAATGCACTTGATGCTTTTGGATCCACACGTACGTTTATGATCTAACGGTTGGTATTGCTCTGATTGAAGCCCTTTTGAAAGCACATGCACTTTACGCGGTTTTGGTATATTCTACTAGGGTTGCTTCTAATACACGCCCTCTAGATCTTTGCCCTTTCTTCCTTCTCTTCTTCTTCTTCTCCTCCTCCTATTTTCTTTCCACTTCGTTTCCTTTCTCCTCTATATATCAATCATGGTTTTTCTTTTCAAATATTAATTAATTACATTGTTGACAATTGTTGTGACACTGATATATATAATATACTGTTTTGGGATTCTTAATTTCTTTTTGTTTTTTTGTGTTTGTTTTTTTATACAAGAATATTTATTATTTTTTTCGTAGATAAACTTTAAAGGCCTCTCCCAATGGTTTTGCAATATTTGGACTCTTATTTCGTCCATTAATAAAGGCCCATATCTATACATATATACATAACATTCGAGAAAAAAGTGGATAATATTGTCTTCTGGCTTGCTTCAAAAGCTTCATGAATTATATGGAAAAAAAAAGAGACGAATTATAATTAGCATTGAACAAAGAGAGTTTATCAGATCGATAGCCAACATACTCTTCTTTAATTGGACAAAATGCCATTAATCTTGACCGATTAATATTAATTCAATAATCTTTTTTTCACTCCCAAAGTACCACACCATCATGAAAACTTGGGCTAAATTTCTTTCCCCTCTTTTCCTTTTCTCTTAAATAATTACTTTTCTAAAACAAGATGGAGTTGGTAATGCCATGATAATTATGTATAAATATAATATCTATGTT